TTTGTTAATTGATTATAGATGTCAGTAATAACTTGACTTAGAGAAATAGTAAGGATCTACCTGATAACCATCACATGGTACATTGGGAACGACTAACAAATGAAGCTATATGAATAAAATTTTAGGAATGATCAGGATTCAGGAATGATTATTTATTATCATATTTAGTAAGGAATGATATCATTTTATATCCCTCTGCAGTAAAAGGTATAAAAAATGGATAGGAAACATAATTCTTTATAAATTGTAAGACAATTTAGGAACATTAGAGAATACATTATTACTTGTCATTCATTCTTCACCATTCGTAAATCTGTATTTCAGAAACGTTTAAACCATATAAAGAGGGATATGATGTATAGGAATGTGTTTGCAAGACTACAAGTGTCATTTAATTAGTACATCTTCAATTTTGACGTCTACATTACATTTGTATAATTACCATAACTAAATTTCTGACTCTCTGAACATCTTCTAGAATTCGAAAAAAAATTGGGTTTATCTCCTAAGTTGAATCTCTAGCTTTACCAAACAATAGAATTTCATTATTTCATATCCAGTATTTTCTTAAAAGAAAACAAAATATTATCGAATTATATTATGTTTTAAAATTAAAAGATAAATATAAATAAAAATAATAGTAATAGTAAAGAAAAAACTTTAAAAAATATATTTTTAATACCATCAGTAAAACACTAAACCCTACACCATAAATCATAAACCCTAAACCCTTGGATTAATTTTAAACAGTAGAATTTATGATTGATCTAAGGGTTTAGAGTTTACCCAAAGATTTAAGGTTTAGTGTTTTGCTGACAATATTAGTTTTTTTGGGTTTTAGTAATAAAACCCCTCAACTAAAGATGAATCGTAAAAAAACCTCAACTAAAGATTTAGTGAAATAAACCCTCAACTTTAGTTCCGTTAATGTTTGTCACCCTCCGTCACAAAGTATTAGACAGAGGGTAACATATGTTAACAGAATTAAAGTTGAGGGTTTATTTCACTAAATCTTTAGTTGAGGGTTTTTGTTACGATTTATCTTTAGTTAAGGGGTTTTATTATTAAATGCGATTAAATATTTTAAAATCCTTATTATCATTTATTTAGTATTTAAGAATCTTACAATTAATTTATAAACATTGAAAATAATTTATAGTTTTTATATATTACTTTATCAAAATTTTAACCTATTTGTAAAGCTTAGTAAATATTTTTATATTTTTATAAACTATTAATAAAGTTTAACGATGATTTTATAAGCTTTTGTCTGCTATTTCTTAGAATGGAATAATACATGATTTTTCTTGATATTATGAAGTAAAGAGATAAAGCTTTATAAAGGAGGAAACACATACAGTTTTCTTATATTAATACTGTCAAATATCAAATAATTAAGATTTCTAAGTTATAAAAAGTTGTAGGTAGTGTTGAGGATATTTAATTAGTTTAGAAATTCAACCTTGTTACTTAAAATATGGCAAGAGCTTTTTTTCTCCTCTTTAAACAATTTCAATTTGATTCGTACTTTTTTCTATTTTAGAAGAAATAATGTAGGATTAATTTTCTTCTTTTTAGTTTCTAAACAAGTATGTTATACTCCTACCATATTAATCAATAAGTTTTTCTTGTTATATTTATTTACTTCATGTTTTTGTAGTATGACGAATAATCACTTCTTTAATCTTATAAAATCATCATTAAACTTTAATAATAATATAAAAAGTATAAAATGAGAAAAATTATAAATAGGTTATAAAATTGTATGTAAAAAATATAAATTATTTTCAAGGTTTATAAATCAATTTTAAGATTTTTAAATAATGAATAATTGATAATAAAGATTTTAAAATATTTAACCACATTTAGTAACAAAACCCCTCAACTAAAGATGGATCTTATCAAAAACCCTCAACTAAATATTTAGCGAAATAAACTCTTAACTTTAGTTATGTTAACGTATGTCACCCTCCGTCTAAAATTCTGTGACGGAGGGTGAAAAACATTAACAAAACTAAAGTTGAGGGTTTATTTCACTAAATCTTTAGTTGAGGGGGTTTTTTACGATTCATCTTTAGTTGAGGGGTTTATTACTAAAAACCAATTTAAAAAAAAAAAAAAAAATCAATGGTTTATCCAAGGATTTAAGGTTTACAGAATGGTTTTAAGGTTTAATATTTAGGGTTTAGCGTTTAGTGTTTTGATAATAGTACTATAAAAAAAATTCATTTTTTTTTTGCAACTACTATTATTTTTTATTTATTTTTATCATTAAATTTTAAAAACATAATATAACTCGACAATATTTTGTTACCTTTTAAAAGATACTGAATATAAACTAATGTAATCCTATTGGTTATTGAACCCAAGAATTACTTAAGAACTAGGTGACTCACCCGCACCTCGTGCGGGAATAAAAGTCGGCAAAATTAACGTTGGCATGCTTTGATCATATGTAGTGCATAAAAACAAAGGCTGGATATCAACATCAACATTGTTTATAGACATTACTTTTCGTTGTAGTATTAATAGTTCAATCTATATTCAGCATTGAACATTGATAGTCATAATGGTAATGAAAGTTCCAACCGGTTTCTAAATGACAATATGTCAAAAATCTTTATCGGAAAGTTAGTAAAGAGAATCTTATCACGTTGCCTGGATAAGACAATGAATAAAATTAGTTCATATACTTCAGTAATATTAATGATATATCTTTCTTTCTTTTTTTTGGACAATCTTAATGATATATCTATTATTAACTACTCCTTAAGAACAAAATATCCTGATAAAAAATGATGTAGTAGTAAGGGTGCTCAATCTGGATTTTGGTTTTTTTCGGTTTGGTTTTTTGATTTTTCGTTATTTTGGTTTATAAAATATACTACCATATTAAAACCATATAGACTTTGTTTGGGTTCGGTATATATACCGTCGGTTTCCGGTTCTTTCAGTTTTACACCAAAAAAATCATAAATATATTTATCTTTTATAACATTTTGTGAGTTTTACTTAATATGATTAAATACAAAGTTTAATAAAACAGAAAAATATTTATGTTTTAAAATAGACTATTATTATATTATTTTTATTTAAATATTTAAAATAATTAATAAACATATTAAGTTAATAATAATAACAATTTTCAGAGATAAAATAGGAAAATAGTAATAATATCTTTATATTATTAAATAAATAAATATTAGCACATATATTTGTCAACGAAAAAAGTAAAACTTGTTTGGTATAATCTAATAAAAATGAAAAAATAACTTTTAACTTAAAACAAAATATTAAATTACTAAATCAATTTTGTAAGTATCATATCAATAAATGTACGACCATACATGACCGTTGTCTAGGTCGTCTTCATATTTTTGATCAGTTTCAATTGAAGCATGAATTCTTGTCACATGTTTGAACATTAAAAGATTTATGTGGATCAGTTAAAAAACTAAAATAAAGTACCATGCTAATATTTAGTAGTTAGTAGCTATAGAAAACATTACAATCCAAAATATATTTAAGGAAAAAATAAAATCTTAGTAAAAATGAATTTGCCATATAAAATTTGAATTAGTAATAATAACTATCTACTTTCTTATCGACGAAATCATTTTAATGATTTTTTCTGGTTTCTTGTTAAAATTCGCCCACAAGTGAATGATCTCAACTTCGATACGCCATGTTTCTTTAAATGATTTTTTAAGTCTTTAGAATAAGAGAACAAACACATTTTTTGTATGTCTAACCTTGCCATTATTATTTTTAATTGATATATCAAAAGAGAGAGTTATTTGTATTATAAAATATTGGTTACCAGAATTATACACTTAGAACTTTGATGTTCTCTTTTTTTTTACATCAAAATATTATTCAATTATTCAAAGTTGAGATGGTTGGAAGAATTCAGACCAGAATAAAATAACCAATAAAAATTGAATTTTTATAGAAAGCTCGAGCCATCTTGGATAATCTATATGATATTTTAAATATAAAAAGTACTTTAATCATTTATAAAAATGAAACTCACCTATAATATCACATGTCAATTACAATGATTGAAAGTTTTTTAAATTATATATTTGATTGTATATCATTCATTTGACACATTTTTATAATATATGTATATAGTGAGTAGAAATATTATTAGTTCTATCTATTAGTTTTCTGTAATCTATGATTTATTGTATACATTATAAATATAATATTTTTGAAACCGTTTATATAATTGTTTATGTAATATCATATGTATTTATATTTATATTATAAATTTATATAACGTAATCTATGATAATCAATTGTTTCAACAAAAAAAAATATTAATTCATTTAAATTTAAGATGTTTGATTGTTTATTTGGTAACATATATTATATTAGGTAACTCTATGATAAGTTTCCTTTTAAAAACCTGATTTAAATAAATAAAAATACAAATACCAACAACCAATCAAATTAAAAGAATTAATTCTAAACTTCACATATGAGTGACATCTAAGCAAAAATCACTGAAGTGACTTCTCATTTAATATATAGTGGGATTTCCGTGTATTAAAAGAAAGGGCAGGAAACATATACTAACGAAACAATCAACTGACCCATCAATATTCCAAATTAAGTTGGACATACATAATTTAAGAAAGATTACTCCCGAATTTTCTTTTAACGATTTTTTTAAAACCCAAAATATGGGATTACAGTGTTAGTTACTAGCTTGAACCAACCAAAATTTTCTAGATCAAAACCTCACAAGACTAGCTTCGCTCACTCACTAAATCAGTGCCATCAGCCAGACCGTTTTGGAATCCTTAGAATATCAGTCTCCATTCTCAATTCGTTAATTAGAGCCACGGCAATGTGAGAGTTACTTCGTTTCCTCAGATGTTATCATTACCGGAGTAGCTGGTTTCGATGATCTTTTCAAACTCATAATTTAAACTGTCCATGAAACTCTTAGCACAAACGGTAAAGGAGGCAGATAGCAAACCTAGAGGGAAGCATCATAGCCTCTGAAAACCGTTGGGACTAAGGAAGCTATGAACCGCCAAGGACTTGAAGACAGATCCGATGTTGCATCGCCTCTGGACAAGACGACTGATAAGGGGCATCACATCAACTTGGTCTGCAAAAAGAGAAGGATAAGATCTTCCTACTAACCAATCGGTCGCAGGAAATGGGATGATCAAACCGTATTAAGCCTCCTCGTCGATAGAGTTAGGGCCGAATGACTCCACCGGAAATATCAAGTCAACGCTTACCCTGAGATAGAGAACCTGGCTCAGTCTCTAACACACCTCCAGGATAACCACCACTGGAGAGACGAAGGCACCAAAAGGGCTGAACACAATCAAGTTCAATACGAGCACCAAGAGAAATACATCGAGGCCGACAGAACAAAGATCAGTCAGAGGCTAAAGAGGACACCACTGCCATAGACGACATAGGACACCTCTGAACCATACCTACACGCACTAACCCACAGGGGAAGCGGAAACCACGTGACCACCGTCGAACATGTCCACACGCCACTTGAAGAGCAATCACCGATCTTGAAACGAAATAGAACCCGCTACCACAGCGAAACACCAAGCCGTGATGAAACAAGAATGCGTCGTCTCCACTGCACATCGAAGAAACATCTCCGAGACAAAACGAAAGGGGAAGAAGCCGGGAGAGTGAGCGCCACAACACCTCAAGCGCCACCAAATCGAATAGCCACCTCCATTTCTAAAATGAAAAATAAAACTAAAATGGAAAACAGATCTGACGGTAACAATCACAACAAAAGATGAATTCCGAGCCCATCAAACGAACACCTACTCCTCAGTACTCCAGACGACTGCAAGCAACCACCAAATTTGTCACCCCCGGAGTGGCTCTAGACGATCGGCGATAAAATGAACCTCCAAAGCTCCAAACATATTGCAGGCTGAGAGAGAAGAGACGGTAAGCAAAGAGCAAACCAGGAAGGCCGAGAAGACACGCCTACGGCACCGGTTCTCATGTGCAAAGCCGGAGCAGTGCGAAATTCGATCAACGAGAATAAGTGGTCGAGAGAAAGTTTTAGATAGTTAAGGATAAGTGGTCGAGAGAAAGTTTTAGATAGTTAAGGGAGAGAAAAAAAAAACCTTTTAAACATATGTTTAGTATTCCCAAAATTTTAATCATGTGAAGCCACATGAAAAATCTTTTAACCACGGTAGATACGGATTAGTGAAACTAATTATTCCATTTCTTTATAAGTAAATCGTTGGATAGCAAAGCAATAGAAACACTGAAAACAAAAGAAGTGGGCTGTTTACAATTAACAAAATAAAAATGTCACATGGATTATTATATACGCAACATCTTTTAAATCGAAGCTTTAAGCCTAATCTTGTTCTGGCACAGTAGCTTTTTTTTTTGTTTAACTGGGATGGGTTCAGGCCTTCGGCCTTAACCCCCCCCTTCCCAGGCCCGGAGCCAGCCTACGTCTGTACCTTTTACGGCCCTGGACACTCCTCCCTACCCGACACTCGAACTCATGACCTCTTAAGCAATTGTTTGAGGTGTTACCAGTTGAGCTAGCTCGTCCGGGTCACAGTAGCTTGTTGGTGTCGACTTTACACTTCTGCATTCTGCTCTGCAACTATTTCATAAAGGAGAATCTGCTTGAATTCCTTCTACGACAATTTGCCTCAGGTCACACCTCCTCTCATTATTTGTTTGTAAATTTGACGACTAATGTAGGTAGGGTTCCACTCTCTTTCCAGCGAAAAGATCTGGATCCTCAAAATTTGGTAAGGTTGTGTCGTCTGTCATCACTCTCACCTCCTCCATCTCAGTAAGTTACCCTCTCTCCGGTCTCTGTTGGGTGTCTAGCGAAACCTGTCACAGTGAAGGTTCATCTCCTCCTCTGGCTTATTACAGTGGTCATCCTACTTGCTCCGGTGAGCTCAACAATCTGCCTGATGCTGCTCTCTATCTCTCATTCGGCGACATCCTCACCACCTCCAGCACACATTCTAGACCTACGGCGTCTCCTGCCAAACAGTAAAAAATTGAATCTAGCTTTAGATCTTTGTTGCCTTGCCCCCATTACTTTTAATACATTTGCCAGTCCAGCTACCAAGCTACCAATAATTCAGATTTAGGAAGTAGATTGTGAGATAAATAACGTTGGTTAACCCTAAGATTTAAGATTGGTTCATCGGCGTCTATACTATGAAATTATTGCAATATCACTCTCTTAGGAAAACATGTTGGTGGGTTCACCGAATCTGATATTTGTTTATCATCACGATCTACCGAGAAAATTATCTCACAACCATGCCTCATTTCTATGATTAATAATGTTTTCTCAGGTCTTTTCCCGAGCTTTAGTTTCAGCTTTTGCACCATTTCTCACTTTGTGTAGTGGTTTGTAAGGGACCATAAGGTGCAATCGAGACTACTTCGATTTTTCCCTTTGGTGAGGGTTGATTCTCAACATCACTTGTGACAAAATCTCAGTTGTCTGACTGTCATGAGAGCTTATGAACAAATTCAAGTTGTGTCTCAAATTCTCTGCCAACTTCTTATGAAGAATTATCATGTTTATTTTCATCTATCATTGTAGTTTATGGTTTGTCTACAAGACGATGTTTAATTCATATATGTGTAATTAGACTTCTTGAATGTAACTTTTATGTATATTTAAGAAATCTTTCCTAAAGGTGTATGACATCTTCATAAATTGATTTATATGCATATTTAGAAAAATAATATTGAATATATGCATATTTAGAAAAATTTACGAAGAAATTTTAAAGTATTTATACTTTTTTATCAAATTCAGGAATGTCTTTTGCAAACTTCAGGAAGATGTTATACATGTTCAAAATACCTTATTAAATATTGATATAATTCAAATTTAGTAAGGCACTCATATATATATGCATGAAAGTCTTCTTAAATACACATTTAAGAATGTATTTTTGAGTACAAATTTGTGAAAGTTTCCTAAATTGCATGAATATATTATACATATTTATCAATATATTTCTACATTTTAGGTAAATATTATATTTATCCAGTATTGTTTGCCTAGTTAAGCATATAGATATTATACACTTCATGAAGTTTTTTCTAAATTTTCTTACAAAAAAAAACATTCCAAATAAAATTGAAGAAAGAAAAACATTTCAGAAAACAAAATTAAAAATTGCAAATTTCTTCTTTTTAAAGATATATTTAAATATTTATTTATTTTATACATTTGTAGATTTCTTATAATTATCATTTTTAGATGAAATTTTATTTATCAGTATGTGATTTCAAGTATATAGTTACATTTAATATATTTTTAACAGACCTTTTGGAAATTAATTTCTTACAGATATTCTAGTTTTTTTAATTTTTTTTTTTTTGGTTTTGAATATCATTTTACAAGTTCACTCATAAATAGATGAGAGTAAAACCAATTGTAACAAGTGTAAGTTTCAAATATACATATAGGTCGAGGATTGTGCATTTTATCTGTTAAACTTGAGTCGATTTGTTATTCATTTTGTTTTTATATGAAAAATCTAGATATTCGTAAGTCTTTGGAGCAAATCAAATATTGAAAATGAATATCCACTAAAAATGAAACAAATCACAATAATAAAAATTTAGAGCCAGATATCTGTTTCATTTGAACTTTTGTACAAATAGATATATAGTAGAATTTCTATAAATTAATATTTGATAAATTAGTAATCTCTATAAATTAATAAATTTCCTCGGTTCAAAATTTGACACAAAACGATTAAATTTTTTTTTAATTTATATAAATATATGGTCCCATTAAAGTTATAAATTGATAAGTTATATGTATACATATTTAAAATAAGTGAGATTTATCATTATATTGTTTATTTTATATTCATAATGGAATTATCTGTATATATTATTAACACTTCATATAATTTTGATGAGATTTAGTTATATTATTTCTAAAATCACATTTAAATTCTATAGAATATATATTATTTACATAAAATAATAAAATAAAATTAATATAAATGTAAAAGTTCAAAAAATTATATCTATACACCTAAAATCAAATATTGTTTATCTTAGAATAAAGATATATAAAAATAAGAAATCTAATTAAGTAAAATTTTGTAAATTAATATCTCTATAAATTAATAAAATTTCAAAGTTTCAACATTATTAATTTATAGAGGTTATATTGTATATCTACAATGAAATATAGAATTTTAATTATATGATTTAAATAATTATTCTTTTAATATATAATAACTTTATTAATTTTTTACTTATATAATTATTTATAAAGTTATTAAATTAAAAAGAAATATAAAATAATTATAAAACTTCTGACCTATGGCGAACACATATTTACCAAGCATAAATATTTGTAAAATATTTATGCCTCTGAACAAATATTTAGTTTAGATATTCACAAATATTTATAAATATTTACAAATATTTATGCATATTTCATCAACTTTATTCAATACTTATAAATGAAATATGCATAAATATTTGTAAATATTTATAAATGTTTTGGATATTCAGTCGTATTTTTTTGAACCAAAACAAATGGAAAAAAATAATATTTGTAAAATATGAAACAAATCACAAATACTAAAGATTACGACATTACTAGCTCCGTCCATCTCTATCTGCCTGATAAGGCTAGGTTAAGTCAGATTATTGCGGTCAATGCCAGAGGCAAAAATATAACTTGAAATATAAAAAGTTGTTCGCTTTGATTCTTTATTTCGCGTACAGAAAATATTTACTTTTTTTTTTTACTAATAATTTTACTTATATTAGTATAATTTATTCTTTTGTCCCTTTACCATTAAAACCGTTCATTGTATTTTGCTATACAAAGAGCTTTCTGTAGTCGCTTTCTTGCTATGGCCAAGCAGGTAACAATAATACTAGTGCCAAACCTGTGTGTTCGTCCTACCATGAACAGTCTATGCTTTTCAGTTTATATTTTATTATCATATTATGTGTATTTTCCAGCTAAATTAACGCGTTTTCAACTTTTATACTATAAATCTGTAATGATATTTTGAATTGAAATTTATAAATGCATATTTTCTTACAAAAATCTAAGTAGATTCATAAACAAACAGGATATATGGAATTTCGCAAGACTTGTCGTCGCGAGGATACATGTATTTTCTTAAAATTTAATCAAGTATTTTTTTTTAAACCAATTTGATCAAGTATTTGGGATGTTTACTACAAAAAGTTAAAAGATCACACGTGCATGTGTTTAAGGTAGTGTCGGTTAATACATGTATTGGTCTTCTTTAAGCTCCTGCTCTGCGTTGGCTTTTGGCTTCACTCGTCACGTATATTAGATGTTTGGGCCATATACATTCCAAGATTTGTCGGGAGCCACACGAGTGCGTACTTGATACATACTCCAAGCACACACCAATTTTACTTCTACGCATTTATTTGATTTGGAAAATTTGTCACGTACATATCATGATTCATTCAATATAAATGTTCTACCTAAAACTTGGCGCAGAAACTTTGTGAACTGATTGTTTAGGCTTATGTCACTACTAGAAAACAACGTATATTCTGATGGAGATTCCGACGAACAACGAAATCGTCGGACAAAAGTGACGATTTTCCGACGATATACCGACAAATACAATAAATTCGAATTCGTCGGAAATTCGTCGGAATATTCGACGAATTTTCGATGGAAAAGGGTTTATCGGAAATATCTGTCGAAATTCCAACGACTATCCGATAAACAATATTACCGTTGTAGTCATCGGAATTTCGTTGGTATATACTGAGAGAATTCCAACGATTTTTTTTTACCGTTGTCGACAAGAATATGACCGTTTTATAGCCGTTTATATTTTAAAAACACTGACGGAATTCCGACGATCTTTTTCAAATTCGTCGGAATTCCGTCAGAATACCGTTGGATTGTCGTAAACAATTTCTTATAAATACAACCTCTCGTCATTCACCTCATTAACTCTTCACTCTCTCTTT